TTTATTTTATTTTTGTAAAAAGAAACTAAATAATGTGATTCTTTAATTTTTTTTCTTTTTCTTTTAGCCATTTGGTCAAGTTCCAGCCATAGAAGATGGTGATTTCAAGCTTTTTGGTAAGTTCCAAATAATGAAATTAGAAACCTTGATTTTTAATCATTTATTTATCAAGAAAAATAACAGAAGGCAACTGAATTTTCAGTATTTTAAAAATAAACTTACGTTTTAGGTTTAAAGATATAAATTGTTTAGGATTTAAATGATTTTATATAATATTTCGAAACATTCTCATTGCATTTCACTTGGGACATGTGCTCAAAGAATCTCGAGCCATTGCGAGATACTACGCGACCAAGTACTCGGACCAAGGCACGGACCTTTTGGGCAAGTCTCTAGAGCACCGAGCCATTGTGGACCAGTGGTCCGACGTCGAGACCCATTATTTCAACGTGCTGGTCCACCCCATTGTGATTAACTTAGTCATCAAGCCAAGGTTAGGCGAAGAATGTGACATTGGTTTGGTCGAGGAGCTCAAGGTGAAGCTCGAGGTGGTCTTGGACGTGTACGATAACCGGCTTGCTTCGAACCGGTTTTTGGCTGGTGATGAATTCACTATGGCTGATTTGACGCACATGCCGGCGATGGGGTACTTGATGGGTATAACCGATCTAAACCGGATGATTAAGGCTAGGGAGAATATGAACCGGTGGTGGGAAGAGATTACGGCTAGACCGGCTTGGAAGAAGCTTATGGAGATGGCTGGTCATTGAATTAGTTCGAATTTATGATGGTTGGAACCAAATAAGCTTATTAATATTTTCTGTTTTTGTTTGTCTGGATTTTGTACGTTTAAAAATTTAAATCAATTTACTTTTGAAAGTTTTTATGTCGTCAATTAGATGGTGTTTAGTAGCATGTGTATGAACCTTGTTTGATTCTTTCGCAGTTGAGATTAAAATATGATCAAATGAGATTTTTGATGCTTGAATCCGTTAAGCGTTACATAAAGTTGAGAAAAAGTCTAATGGCTCGAAAAAAAAAATAAAAAATAGATCATTTATATTTGGGATAGTGAAATGGGAAATTAGCAAGAATAACACCAAAAAAAAACTATAACTACAATTCTAACTATAGTTCATGTTTTGCCACACATGCTAATTTTTTTATTTTTTAATTATAATTTTTTTTTGGTTAGATAGCAAATTGTCCCTAGTGAAATCCCATGAATCTTTGTCACTATTTCTAACATGATTCCGTAAATAATTCGCAGTTAAATTTGAACATAACATGTGCAGTATTACCACCAATGATAACCATATTTTGAAGTTACAATGTAACTTTTTTTGGTATATATATCACAAAAATTCGTCCTTCAGCCAAAATACTTCTACTTGCTCATTAATCGAAGAGAACTAAAAAAATTTACTTTTTACATGCACAAAAATAATGCAACATTATAAGAATTTGTTTGCCCGATTAATACATGTATATATATTAGTTAACATCATAAATTCTCGACCCTAAGTTTTTCCTTTAATCACAAAAGCCCCTCTTAGGTTTGTTCCTCTTGCTTCACATTCATGTCGACTATGAAGAAAGATCATCTTAAAGTTGGAGTCTTTAGTACTGATTTTGCATAAGCTAATGGCAAAGCTGCAATTTTCTTGACTTTCCCCACATAGGCTCTCTTTGTGAAATTGTTGTAATCATTTGCTTCAATCTCGTCCAATATTCTCCTGTACAATAGAAGAGATGCCCATACCTGAAAAAAATCGCATAGCCACGGGTTAAAATCGATCGAAAACACACTTCTGGGGGCAGAAACGAAAATGTAAATGGTGAACCTGCGGCTGAAGAGTGTTTTAGAGACACTTACCGGCCACCTGCTAGCGGCACTGAGCTCGGTGACACCTTTCTCAGCTTCGTCGAAGAACATTCTTGCACGTTTAAGCTGCATTTTCATGAAGTTTCTCCATTTGTCAGTGACTTTTCCAGCGAATATGTCTTCATCTGAGAGACCAGCCTTAGCCAATTCGTCCTGCGGTAGATAAACCCGTCCTCTTCTCGCACTGATAGAGGAAGAAAGAGAGAGAGTAAAACCGGGTTTAAGAGAGATTGTTGAATCAAGAAACCAGCTTAACAGAGAAATGTGAAATCAAGAAACCGAGTCTTGAGAAGTTTTAGAAAAGACTTACTCTTCGCCTACGTCTCTGAGTATGTTGGTAAGCTGATTGGCTATACCGAGGGCCAAGGCAGCGTTGTAAACACTCTCGGTTGTTGCTTTTGACTTGGGATCAATGCCCATAACCGGAACACTCATCAAACCCACGGTTCCAGCGACATAGTAGCAGTAAAGGTAGAGATCATCGAAGCTCTGGTATCTTGATTTCCTCAAATCCATTCTCATTCCTTCGATCATGTCTCTAAATGGCTGCAAAACAAAGAAACATTAGATCAAAGTCTTATAAAGTTTAAAGTTCGCAATAGATTGAATGCAATTTGATCTGTGAAATAAAATGGAAATGCAGAAGTTAGATAAGACAGAGCAAAGGCTGACCTGAATATCGACCGGGTATCGAGTAACGGTATCAGCGAGAGCAGCATCGAGCATATCGAAAGGACGGCCACGGAAAAGATCTTCTAACCTTGCTTCCCATCTATCTAACGCCATGGGAGTTATGTGTGAAGCATTAGGCCCATCTACGAGTTCATCAGTTCTTCTACACCAAACTGCACAAAGGACCGAGTAAAAACATCATTAACTAGATCAATCAAGCATAAAAGAAAACAAATTTTTTGATATATGATAGTTTTGAATTCCTCAGAGCCTCTGGATAATAATAGCATCCAAAAGGGTTGATGAGCTAACTTTGTTCAGCATGAGTGATCTCCAGAGTTTTAAGGTTATTGGGCCCAAAAAGCCCATTAAAACTCATATTAGTAACTAAGTTAATTCAATTTTCTTGGGTCTTAATCTTAAAAGGGTACAAATTTGGTTGCTTGGTGGTGCTTCATGGACTTATCTTAGACACAAGCTAACAACACAAACTAACTAGAGAACTCTCATGGTTTCTACATGAGTGCAAGTTTCAAGGGAAGCTATTTCAGCTTCTTAGAACTTCTTGCTAAGAATACTAACCAAGAGATAAAATAGATCGAGACTAAGCAATCGATTCCAACATATCGATAGGATCGATATGATTTGGGATTCGATATAGACATAATCTCACATCTAACTCTCAGCATAACTTTATCCTACAATTCAAGTAAATGACGGCAGTGACATATTCGAAAAACGGTTCTTAAACCATCAGTTTCGTGGAGTAACTCACCGTAGATAGCCCAAATCGCCTTTCGCCTCTCAGGTGTCATAAGCAAAGTCCCTGCAATAAAACCATTAGAACTCAGAAAAACGAACATACAATTCTCCTCTACAATAAAAAGGCAAAAGAAGGGACAAAGAATCCTAACCGAGATAAAACGTTTTAGCATATTCAGCACAAACTTCGCCGCATCGATCATAAGCCTCACTAAGCAAACTCAAACTCCCAGGAAGAACAACATCTTGTGGTTTCTTGACATCAAGATCAGGAGAAGAAGACCTAAGCTGTTTGTTAACCAAAGCAGCTTGCTTCAACACAACATTGTAAACCTTCTCTTCAGATGAGAGAGCTATCTCTCCTGTAGGACTTGCTACTAAGCTTGAAGACACTACACCACTTCTTCTTCTCCTGCTGCTCATTACAGAAGAAGAACTCCAA